GTGTTTTCAGTTCAGATTGACCTACACTGCTAATACTATTTATTATCATAATCATCCAGGTTTGATAGTGAGACAAAAGAACAATTTATGTGCACTTCTGCAAAGTTGGAATATTGCCACCTTAATTTCAAATATCCCTTCTAAATATGAAGTAGGTGGGGGTTTTTAGCTTGTACCTGCTCTGATGCCTGTTTCCAAAGGTGTGCTGCTTTGCAAGGTGTTGGTATAATTTAAGGCTGTGTGGATGCATGCGCTGAGCTCAGTGAGTATGGCACAGTGAAGCAACATCAAGGCGAAGCAATGGAGACAAAGCTTTTGCTCTCTTATTCACATGAAGAATTTCTCCTACCAGCAGACTGCTGGGAAATACAGTTCCATGTTTGTGAAGACAGAATTATGCAGTGTCTGAGCTTTTACATGGGTAACATCACGAGAATGTACCTTTTGGCTTTTGCTTTCATGATACGCTTTCTGTAAGGTTCAGATCTTCTAACAAAGTTAGTTACTTGAAAGCACCCACTACTTTCCTCCCCATGAGGAATGAACACGAACTAAATAGAAAAACCAAAAAACTGACTTCCACCTTATCAAGTGCTAATTTCAGGTAAAGAGTCCAACATAAGGCAATTAGAGACACCAGAATATTGGAAAAGACACTCCCTGAAGCCCAGGCTCTCACAGAGGAGATGTGCCAACCAGCAAAAACCTCACACAAAGCACTAATGAAAATGTAAGAGGGAGAAAAGCCTTCTCTGATTATTTTTTTTAATATCCATCACTGCTGTGAAACACCTACTTGCAAAATCAGGCAGTGGAAGCAGAGAGTGCCAACTCAGTATTGTATGCACAGGCCCATCTTACAGTATCCATCTTACGTAGCAGACTGGTATTTACCCACCCCAAAAGGGAATAAGTTACTGTAGTTATGGTCAGAAATAGAGACATGGAGAAAAATAAAAGAAATGAAGACTGCTGGGGGACAAAGCAGTGGTAAAGTATACCGAAGTGCCACAGTGTCAGTCATGCTCTGCACAGCCATCAGGGTAAGAGAGCAGAAACTGATACAGAACTCCACCAGCCAAGTACTTAGTTTCCTTCAGTGCTCAACCAAAGCTGCTCTTTTTCAGCAAGAGGGTATTGTTCTCTCTTTTCATTTTGAGGAGTTTGGCTGTCTTTGGCTTTTCATTTGGGCTTATGATGTCTGCTGCCAGGAAGCCTGTGAGAAGCAATAATGGCAGAAGGAAAAACTGATGTGGCTTTATTTGTCCAGTTACTGAGAAAGAAAGCAAAGGAGCGCTAAGCAGTAGGGTTTGCTGCTTAAATGTCTGCTGTTCTATCAGCCAAAGAGGCTGATAAGGTTGATAATGGAGTCTATCACCACTGAAGCCAACTGCACCTTTCCACTGGAAGATTAATATAGTTAATGACTTAAGCAGTGTTTGGAAAAGAAGTATGTGTGGGGAGGGTGGATTTACTGTTCCTTGCCTGCAGAAGCAGCATTTGATTTGTAGTGCACTTCTCTAATTAGACAGCCTGCTTGTGCCACCATTACCTCGTGCAGAGCTGCAGACAAAACAGTAAATGGGGTACCTGGGGCAGTATTTGAGGGCTGCTACTCCACTGAATATTTGGATGTCTGTTGCACTTACAGAGCTATCTGATTATGGATCTTTTTCAGAGCATGCTGCAGTCAGGGAAAAACTCACGTTGCTTTGCATGTGTAATTTTAATGTCTATGTTTCTTCAGTGCCTTGTCTGTGAGGCTCCCATCTCTGCTAAGGATGGGAAGTGGCAAGTTGTAGCTCAAGTAAGGTATGACTTTGTGGGTTAAACCAGAGATTTTGCCACTGGTTTTCAGTGATAGCATGATTTCATGCAGCTAATACCTGTAGAGTAAGCTGAAGGTGCTAAATGGTCTTTTCATTCTTAGGTAGATATTTCATTCTTAGGATAGTCATCAGCTGTGTCTTTGAACTATGAGGCCGCCCTGGTTGGTCTTTTCTGAACATTTTAAGAAGTATCTTACAAAAAATATTGAGGCACCATTTACTAAGAAATAGTTATTTCTGTAAATCCATGCCGGTCTGTAATTGTAGCAGAAACCCTTTCTTTAACCCTTAAACTGTGCTGAAATTTGTGAACTGTACACCCAAAGCAGTAGCCTCTCAAGAGGGGACCGGGTATTCTGGTGGTGGTTTTGTTGGCACAGACAAGGACAGGTGGGTCTGGATTAGTAGAACCAAACTGATAGTTGAAGAGATTGCCTCCAATAATGACTCTTGCTTTCTCTTCTGGAGCAGTTAAGTGTTGCTTTGTTCCTTCATGCCCTTAGGCTAAAAGATGGAGTGTTCCTAAGGGTGTTTGATGTGGTAGCTCCCATTTATTGGGGGTGAAGAATGCTGGGTGGCATATAGCTTCAATTAAGGTTATTTTCATGCCTGGTATGAGTGGGGTTGGGCCTTAAGTGAACTCTTTCCTCTCAATCTCAAAGGCTGTACCTTGAGATGTGTCCTGTGAGCAATTGCAGAGGGTGCATAATGAAATCAGATGGAGCTGTATATTCAGGCTGCTTGCAAGATAAGATCACACGTAAATATAGATGCAGTAATCAGGTACTAAACAAAAGGGCAGAAAGATAAGAGTCTCCTGTTTGACTTTGTGGTCTTTTTCTCTTCCCAACCGGCTCCTTTCCAAAGATGCCTTCCAAGTAACATTCTGGGACTGTTAAAAAGCATCTTCTGGAAGTACAGGGAAAACCTAACAAGGCCTGTCTTACCTGAACAGGCTGTGTTGTAAGCTCAGAATCACAGAATCCCAAGGGTTGGAAGGGACCTCAAGAGATCATCTGGTCCAACCCCCCTGCAAGAGCAGGGTAACCTAGAGTACATCACACAGGAAGTTGTCCAGGCGGGCCTTGAATATCTCCAATGTGGGAGATTCCACAACCCCCCTGGGCAACCTGTTCCAGTGCACAGCCTGAGTCTCCCAGAACATTGGTAGGATGACAAAACCATTTGCTTCAAAAGCTGGTTTTCCTCTTTCTGCCACTAAAACAAGTAACAGTCAACACAAAAGCCTTTTGGAAACCCCCTACTAGGAAATGGGCACTATTTTTGATAGGACTTCTAACCTCTATGTCCTGGAAGGAAACTGCAGTTTCCATCATATTTACAATGAAGAAAGGAGTGGGATTAAGCAGAGCTGAACCGAAAATTGAAACTGATGTAGTACGGTGTTTTGGTTTGGGCATACAGCAGATTAGGTCACATTTCTGCAGATTTCTTTATCAGTGCTGACTAGTTCTGGCTCCTTCATTGTGTGCTTTACAGTTTTTGAGAGGTATATGGAAAATCTGCCATTTGCAGAAGTCACAGGCTGCTCAGCAGGAAACACTGAATGCAGAATAAGTACAATTCTTGGGCCTTTTGGTCAGTTACTGCCCACACCCTGGAAATCATTGTACGATCGAAAGCCATTGACAAATGCCTCACATGTGAGCACCTTCTATTTGCATTTCTGTTTTGCCTCACAAATACAGTGATTTTAGAGTTTTGACACTGTTATTTATTGTCATTAAACACTTTAACCTGTTACGAGATCTACACTTGCAATACATAATGAAAGTAACTGCAGTATCCATGTTAGAAAGCTTTGTGCTATTAAATAAGGAGAAGGTAATGCTACAGAAGGGTTTAAAAACATCAAGAAATTGGTTACACTCAAAACAAGTTTATCAGAAGATTCTTCATTTGTGAGTAAAGATCCAGTTTTATTGACTTACAGGGCTGGGCTTTAAGTAACTGCAGTATCATCAGTTTTGTCTCTTCCACATGTACCTGTATGGTGTGTAGGAAAGACTAAGAGGAACTGAAAATGCTGGAATTTTCTTTGCAAGTTTGTTTTACAGTACGTATCGTTTTCCAAGTTGCACACTTCAGCTGAAGTGCAAAGCAAATGGAAGTCTTTGACATTTCACCTTTCATTGACTAGTGTTTATTTTGTATTTATTCCATGCCTCAAATGAAAATAGAACTCACAAGGAAATAGATTCATCAGTTTTACTGGTGTCTCAGATCAGTGTGAATCGCCATCTAGCGTATATTTAAGACACTGCATAATTACAGAGACAAGGTCATAAAATGTCCTCAAAACACTTTCTATAGCTAGTGGCATTTTATTTCTGTATGCAGGTAAAATAAAATCTGAAATCTACAGGAATCAAGAGATAGATATTCAGAAAAGGTCTGGCAGGTGAAAGTTTAGAGGTATGAGTTTCATTCATCAGCTGGCCAAGTAGAGGGCAAAGATTATTGTCCTGGGTTTAGCAGTAGCAGTCATTTTTCTCCTTCTTGGTAGCTGGTGCAGTGCTGTGTTTTGACTTTCAGCTGGGAACAGAGCTGATAAAAATGATGTTTTGGTTTGGCCAAGGACTTTGTGAGCCTCATGCTCTGCCAGGGAGGAGGGAAGCCGGGAGGAAGCAGAGACAGGACACCTGACCCAAACTGACCAAAGAGGTATTCCATACCACAGCACGTCATGCCCTGGATGTAACTGGGAGTTACCCGGAGGCGCTAGGTGGGACTGCAGGGTTGGAGGAGGTATCAGTCGGTGCTTGGTCGGGCTGGGGGGGGGCAAGTTATCGGTCGCCTGGTGATGGGGTGTTGTATTCCCTTCCCTTGTTATTTCCTTTATCATTACTATTATTGGTGGTAGCAGTAGTGATTTGTGTTATAGCTGAGTTACTAAACTGTTCTTATCTCAACCCGTGGGAGTTGCATTCTTTCTGATTCTGCTCTCCGTCCCTCCAGGAGTAGAGGGAGGGCAAGAAAGGGGGGGGAGTGAGTGGACAAGCTGTTTGACTGGGTTCAAACCACGATAATTATAATGACAAAAACAGCACAGTATCTCTTTCCAGAAACGGAGAAACACTTATTTTACAAATCACATCAAATAACGGGGAAAAATGGGGACAGACACAACCAACCTATTTATTGAAGCTGGCTTGCATTAATTTGTCCAGCGCTGCAAGGTAGGCAGTATCCAATACGTGGCTGATTTTAAATGTGTTTTCTTTCATTTCAGATGACTGATTCCTGCAGGTGTGCATCTGATTTTTTAACCCACTGTCTGATAAAACATCATTGATCATGAGGACATTTATTAAATCATGGATTCCTCAGTGTTTGCGGATTCTTGGGTCACCTTGCAGGTTATTCCATGGATGCAACAGGCTTTTTACATCTCAGCTTCTCTCTTATTATGACTCTATAAACCAGTGTAAAAAGGAAATGCCAGAATATTTCAACTTTGCAAGTGATGTCTTAGATGAGTGGTCACGACTGGAAAAGGTAGTATTTTTCTTTGACTTCATAGACATTGAAACAAATCTTAGATGATACAAATCAATTTTCCTGATTGATACTGGGTAGTAAAAGCTGCAGAGTAGAATGCACTGCTTTATTTTCTGTGTCAGAAATATGGGTGTCACTTTAAGACACTAGTTGCTAGGGTGAATCGGTTATCTGGAGTTATTTTGGATAGAAATGAAACATTTTAAGGTTTGTCTTCTGTTGCATTCTAGGTTGGAAGACAAACAGCAAATCCAGCTTTTTGGTGGGTAAATGATGAGGGAGAAGAGGTAAAGTGGAGCTTTGAAGAGCTGGGATTTCTTTCTAGGAAAGCAGCTAATATACTTTCTGAGGCATGTGGTTTGCAGAGAGGAGACAGAGTTATAGTAGTGCTGCCTCGTGTTCCTGAATGGTGGCTACTGTATGTAGCCTGTATGCGAACAGGTGAGTGACTTTACTGATCTCTTGGATGCAGAAAGAATAAATAGAAGATATTAAAAGTACACTAAATTAAATTGAAAAAAAAAATGTAAGCAGGAATATGCTGCTGTGCCCTGTAAAGTTCAGCTTTTGCATAGAGGGAGAATTGGCAGCACCCACACTGGAACCAAAGCAACACTGTACTAGGTGGTGAACAGACATGGTCCAGTTAAACACCTTCTTAGTTGAAGCCATTGAAGGTTGAATGCTTATAATCTAAGGCCAGGTTTGACCGGATACATTGTCAGTATGAACAGTTTTAATGCAGTAAGTTATATGACCAGACTGGTTAAGAATTCATCACAATATTTTTTTGCTCTGCTATTAAGGTTTTGCGAATTCTTTGGCAAAATTTAACCCATTGCATTTTTAGAGCGCTAAGCACCCATCACAGAACAATTTAGCATCAACAGGGACATGATCAAGTATTTTTGTCCTACTTATAAGCTCTGTGATTTTGGCGGATTGTAAATGGGGTTAAGGCTCAGAGAATCCAGTTCTATCTTATCCAAGATTTTCTTGGACTATGATGTGGGAGTAGCATTCAGTATCTCAGTGTCTCCATTTCCCAGTTGTAAAATATGGTAGACATCTCTGAAGGTGCATGAAGACTGCAATCAGTATAGGTCAATTCTGTTGAAATCCTTGGGAAAAGGAGGATGTAGAAATGCACTAAAGCGCAGAGAAGTGCACTAAATTGACATTCAACCACTCTCAATGGGATTTCAGTCACACTGTAGTCAGTATCCAAACTTAGGTTTGTTCACATTACAAAATGAATCCAAGCTTGAGGGATTTGTTGACTGAGCAGCATCTGTAAACTGCCTGACTCAATCTGTTTATCCCATATCAAGACATATTAATTCCTTATTGAAATGAATAATGGCTTTATTCCAGATGTAAATATAATCCATGTGCTGGTCATCTTCATATACTTGTTAAAGGGGATGATAACACTTCCTTCCTGAGTTATAAATCATGAGGGAAATGCTCAAACCCACTCTAAATCTACATCTGACTCACTATCTAGATACCTTTAATATGGATGACACAAACCTTAACATCAGTGCTTCAACGTTTGAAGGTCTTTTAGAGCCAGATAATCCCAGGTCATTTGTAGAACACAAATTCACCTAAGCTCTGCCTTCAAACATGAATTGTACTTGACTCCCGTTTCTCAGAGAATAAGGAATAGCTCAGCTTTTCTATGTCTGGGGTCATGTCCTGTGAATGTAATAAAGACAAATGGTCAATTTTCTAAATTGCTTGTTGCTTTTTTCCAGGAATTGTCTTTATTTCAGGAACATCTCAATTAACAGCCAAAGACATCTTATACCGACTCCAGACTTCGAAGGCCAAGTGCATCATTACCAATGACACACTGGCACCTGCAGTGGAATCAGTCATACCTGACTGCCAGTTTCTGAAAAGCAAACTAATTGTAGCCAAAGGGAGAAGAGATGGGTGGCTGAACCTCAAAGAACTCTTTGCGTGAGTATCCAGCTGTTACACCATCACTCCTGTGAGGTGAGAAGCTGTATCAGGTGACATTGCTGAAATTTTTAATTAATTTCCAGAATGCAAATGAAATACAATTTTGCACCCCCCTGCCAACTTGCTGTAATCGCTGCGTGAAGTACAAAAGCCCTTAACACACTTCTTGGGAGCTACATTCAGATCTTTCTGCTTCTTTTTATTCAGCAGCCTGCCAGTTTGTAAAAGCTCTTTGCTTTTACTGTGATCACAGGACAAGCAAGCAGAGTACTAATCTTGCAATTTTTTCACGCTTGTCTTCTAGAGTCCAGCCTAATGCCTCTTGAATTCAATGAGAAGATGCCCATTGCCAACTCTTAGAGCTCAGCTAACCTGGGATCAGTTATTTCTTCCCTTTGCTATGTTGGTAGTCTAGACAATCTGAATTGCTCATCACTCTCTTGAACATGTATAGTACATGTCTAGGACCTGGCATGATAGACTGAATTTGGCCCCCATTGACTTCATATTGTGAGACAATATGTGTTGACATAGAAGTTGGTTTTGTTCTGTAACAAGCACCCCGACTGCCCTTGCAAAATAGTTGTAAACAAAGTCACTGGAATATGCTGTAGGTGCTCACATCTTGAAAGTTACAGCATACAGAGCACAATTGTGACAGCAAAATGTGCTCTCTAACTCTTACCTGTGGTGTCTGATGCAACTATTTATTTAGTGAGATCATACAGTTGGGGGCTGTTTTTCTGTTTATTTCATAAACCCTAAGAAGTACTGCTTCCTTCGTGAAAAACTACATGCAGTAACTGTCATATACTGTTTCTTCTGAAGGGTGGCATCTGCTGACCATAAATGTGTGAAGACAAGGAGTCAAGACCCAATGATAATCGGTTTTACTAGTGGAAGTACGGGCTTTCCAAAGATGGTGGTGCAGTCCCACAGCAGTTACGGCATTGGATTTGCAACTAGTGGCAGGTAAACCTTGCAATTGCTCCCAGTGTCCTGGTTAAGTGACATGATCGCAGTTAAATTTAAAATGTGACTGTAAAAACTCCAGTAAATGTAGGCATTTCAGAAGTGTAAGTTCTTGCTTCTTCTTCGCCTTTCCCCTCTCACACTGAATCCTTACTATAAAAAGCTTCTTGAAGACTCAGTTTACAACATCAAACACAGTGTCCTGGCACTCAGAGGACTGACTGCAGAGTAGCAGTAAGGGTAGCGTCCTTGTATCAAAACCAGATAAAGTGCTTTAGTATTGTGTAAACCTTCCTTGAGAATGAAAGCAACCTTGGACCATAGCATTATATCTTAAAAGTTACAGTTTATTCTGAATCTGTGTTTTGGTACTGATTTGCTTTCATTTAACATCTTTTGTTTATGCTTTGAAGGAGTGATAAATTTCATTAAAATCAAGGATACATTTCCCAAGGAACACTGAGGCTGAAGTTGATGATATATAATCCATAGAAGTAATATGATTAGTTTCGTATAGAAATAAAATGTGATTTAGCTGATGTCACTAATCCACAAGGTGGGGAAGGCCTACTCCAAGTGAGCTGTTTGGTTTTTCATCTAGATCCAGATTATGCAACTCAAGCCAAGGATGTTCTGCACTGTTCAGGAGGAAAACAAATGCTGGAAATGTTAAACAGGAGGGATTGATGGAAAATAAGAGAGTGTTTAAGATATTTCTACTCTTAGAAACTTTCTAAAGAGCCCTACTTGCTGACATAGCATCTTTTAATGGGAGCCTCTTGCTCTTTAATTATGCTATGCCTGAGCCTTTTACACTCTACGAAGCATTTTTTTTCTCTCTGTTTTATCACCAGGTACTGGATGAACTTGACTCCTTCAGATATAATGTGGAATACTTCTGATACTGGCTGGGTAAAATCAGCTTGGAGCAGTGTTTTTGCACCATGGATCTGTGGATCCTGTGTCTTTGTACACAGTATGCCACAGTTTAAACCAGAAGTTATCGCACAAGTAAGTGTAACATTTATAACTGAGTTTTATTTCCATTTTGCATAACAGGAACAAAGCCCATACAGAGCATGGGTACCCACTGTTCTGGAGCAGAAGAGATAATAATTCCCACATCCCAAGCAATCGTCCCTCCTTTTGGTGTCCAGAAACCTAAAGGAACAAGTGTTTTCCATCCTGGTTAGGCCACGTGACATGGCTACAGTGTAGAGAGGATGTGGTGAAAGATGCAGGATAAAAAGAACTCAGGATCACTGCTGTCTTGTCCCATATTTAGCCAAAGTTCACTTCAGTTGCTTTGGGTTCAGGATGAACATAGGCCAGTGATCAGAGTACGGCATACATGTGAATCAGGGCCTTCTTATCCTGAATTTTCAGTGAGTTGCCAAAATGCCTGTTCCTCTGCTCTGCCATTTCACAAAACCAGTCAGCTGGCCTATTTCCCCAACATTGGTCTCTTGTGTGGAGAGGAGACCCAGACCTTCCAAGAATAAAATTTGAAAAGCTTTGATCTAGTTCACTGTTGTCACTTAGTCTTGAGCCTAGGACACAGTTGCCTGGAAAGCAGAAACCAATCTTAACAGGAACTACTACTCTTGGTGGATGTTCGTTTGCATGATAATGGTATTTCCGACAGCAGTAGGACTGACAGTTACAGCCACTCCGAAGTCAGGATTCATAGTCACTAATGCATAGGTCTTCTCTGTGTCGAATGTATGTTGCATTTTTATAGTTTTCATTTTGCAGACATTTGAGCACATAACTTGTGTTAATCACCTTCACATTTGCAGGGTCAGACCCAACATTGCATTCTCTTTTCAGCAAAATAACTTTCTATGTTTCCTAGACTCTCTCAAGATACCCCATCACTACCTTTTGTACTGTTCCCACCGCCTACAGCATGCTGGTCCAACATGATCTGAGCAGGTACATCTGAGCATCCGTCCATTACAGGGGTAGCAGAGAGAGGCTGGGATACAACGCTGTGACAGCTCTGGCTGTTTAGTTCCTTATGTTGCTTATTTTTTTTATTTTTTTTCTATTAGAAGGAATATAATTGAAATTGCTCTAGATAATTCTCAGTGTCTTATTTGATCTAGGATGTTGGCACGTAACTCAGCTTTCCACAAATATCTGATGTTCTTGCTCAGACTTCTCAGACTTCTCCTTTCTTGTTAGCTCGTCCAGGAAAACACCTTTACTCCCTCTTCCAGAGGAAAAAAAAAAAAAAAGCTACTTCTGTAGGCTTAAATTATAGGTTTAAACTAACAATAGCTCGTGTGGCTTTAAACTAACATAGTACAGCAAACTGTTCTAACTTGCTAACACGTAGAGAGAAAGGAATGTGCAGTTGATGGGGGAAGAAACATCATGGGACTGATAACAACTAAGGAGACCCAAGGATGCTAGCCTTAAAGAAAGCAGAGTGGTGTCCAATGTGAGGCGAGACTGGAAGAGAACAGAAGCAAGGACATACCAACTGCTCAATAGTAGGACCTTCTGAGCATGTGCAAGCACTGAAGTCATTCAGTAAACACAGTGAGGAAGAGTATCAGTGACCACCAGAGACCCCCACTCAGCAAGAAAGCGCATGCATAATTAGAATGCAAATATTATAATTAGTTCATGGAAATATCATGAATATGTAAACCATTTCCTGGAAAAGCTGTAAATATTCATGAACATGCTAAATATGTAACTGTTGCCAACAAGTAACGAGCGCGCTCACCTTTGCAACACTATTCAAGTGTGCACCCAGCGCTGCAATAAAGAATGCCTGCTTGCTGAAACTCCAAATTGAGTCTTTATAAAGAGTTTCTCTGACCAACATTTATGGTAACACTTCCAGTGACACAGGTATAAACCCCATTGTCCTCAGTGGTAACATGAGCAATCTAGGAGTTCAATCCAGATCTGTGTAGCAGGATGATTATTGTAATTTCCAAAGTAGCTTTTGAAATTTTAAGCATACTAGCTCTGAAAGTTGAGGGAGGCTGTTCAGTTAAGACCATTCACTGCTCTTTTCAGGAGTTTAAAGAAATAAATATTTAATTTGCTATTTCTCTCAAGGTATAAGTTCATGAGCCTGAAACACTGTGTAACTGGAGGGGAACCGCTCAATCCTGAAGTGATGGCGAAGTGGAAAATCCAGACAGGGGTGGATATCCATGAAGGTTATGGCCAGACAGAAACCGTATGTTTGCATTAATTCTTTCAGTATGCCTTTTCAAAGGTAACAATACCAGAGGCACATTGTGCTTGATAAATCAATGGAAAAGGTGAGAATCACTTAAATTAATTATAGGCAATATATAATTATGCTTATATAGTCCCAAAATCAACTAGCAGCATGTTTTAATGTTTATAGGAAGTACTGTGACTGTGGAGTTCAGCCCCCTGCAAAAGCTGTGCCAGAGATTATCTCAGATCAAATAACTTGTAGTAGATCCCTTCCATCACCTTTACTTAAAAGGCAGAACTAAAAAGAAATAAAATAAATTATTTGCTCTGGATATCAATTTGGCCTGTCTGAGGTTTTAATGAAAAATATTAAATCAGTTCACATCCAGACTTCTCTGCAAGTGAACATTAATAAAGCTATTAAGAGTCGGATTTCAGGCATTCTCTCTCTCCTCTTACCCTTGGTATGGTCCCAAATTAATTGTCCCATTAGTGAAATAAAATCTGTAATAATTTCACATCTGCTGTCTTGCAAAATCAAGTGTTTTCAGACAAACCCAGTGGCTCAGACTGAACACAGCCAACCTCATTCCATAAGGCTGAACTAGAATGCCTCTCAGCCCTCTCTGATGTGCTTGAGAACCACAGTGTGTTAGTCCTGATTCAGCCCTTGTCACGACAAAGTCATGAAGAGGTGTCATGCCTAATGGAAACAATAATAAAGTCTACAAGATGTTGCACAAATTAAAAATAAAATCTATTTCCAGGTAACAATTTGTGCCAATATGAAAGGGATGAAAATTAAACCTGGCTCTTTGGGAAAACCTGTTCCCCCTTATGATGTCCAGGTATGTTGATACGTCTCATCTGAGCTCAGCTGCAGTTGTGGGTACAAGAGTAAGGGAACGCTGTCTGTGTCCCTTCTCTGCCCTGCACTGTGCTGTAGCAGATATTTCATTGAGCTAATCAAAGCAGTAATGATGTGTCCTTTCTGCAGATAGTAGATGACCATGGGGCTATTCTGCCTGCAGGAGAAGAAGGCAACATTGCCGTCCGTGTTAAACCAACGCGACCATTCTGCATGTTCTCTGAGTACTTGGTAAGTCTGAGTTGGTCTGTCTGTGCCTTCCAAGAAGCTCAAGAGAGATCCAGGGCAAAGTTCTGACTTATTCAAGAAACAGAATTTCATCTAGGATTTTCACAAAGTCTCCCTAGGCTGCTTGAGGACTTTGAGCCTGATCTGTTATCTGATCTGATCTGTTATCTGATCTGATAATCCTGGAACAGACTGACTGGCAGAGTATAACTTCAAGATGCAACATAAACCAGGTGCTACCTTGTTCCAGACCTGTACCTGGCAGTTGGCACAAACTTCACACTCAATGCATCACTCCCTTCCATTCTACTCCCATCGTTGGCTAAGGATTAATGGAGGCTCATAAAGGCTACTTTAATACATCAAAAGTTCAGGAAGACTTTCCAAAGAGCACAAGTATCTTATGACCTCATACCACTGTCAGAGGTATCCACAGATTTCTCTCGTACATCTTTAAAAGTTACCAGCATGCACATTTATCTGGTGTTAGAGAAACCCTCTGTACAGTCATGATCCCATGGGTTTGTGGTAGTGGCATATGTAATCTAACATCACTATTCAAATGGGAATGCTCTACCCACTGAAAGCAGAACACATTTAACAAAATTCAGAAAAATGGCCATCTTGATTCAGATCAAAGGTCCATCTAAGGTAGTATTCAGTCTGCAATGGTGCTGAGTTGTAGTACGTACTTAAGAAAACACTAGAATCAGGCAGATACAAAGGTACTCTTCACCGCATTTGAACTATCATGTTGTGTATGCTTTGGGAACCTATCTGTGTGTTTAAACCTCCTCTGAAACCCCATAATATTTGGATATTTTTAGCATCCTCAAACAACAACTGGCTCAGAGTAATTACTATGTGTTAAAAAGCTTCTTTTGGTTCGGTACTATTATTTCAACTTTTCATTTTGTCTTCTGTTGTCAAGGTGTTTTTCCTGTGTAATCTGCACCTGATAGGTGCAGATATCAGTTTAGATAGTGAAGTTTTTCCTGTAGGTCACCTCATTTGTGTTTTGATCTTGAAGGCTGGGGGTAAACGGTTTCCACTGACAGGAGGTTATTGTGGCAACCTCCTGCAGTGATAAATCATTTCCCTGAAGACAGTGGGTTATTTAGTTTAGTAATTTGCTGTGATGGATGAGCATTTTGATTTAACACAGTCTTTTTCTGTAGAACATGAAACCATATCTACACAAATGATGTTTTTCACCTCTCACAAGTTTCCACCACAAAATTGCTGGTTTTCTTAATTGAAGACATAAAATAATACTTACGTTGAGAACAACTTAAAAATTGTCTTGATTATTTTTAGCATCACTGTGAATAAATGCATTACATTTCATTACATACATTACCTTTTCACTAACAATCAGATACATTTTTTTTTTACATGTTTGATTGTTGTCAGGATAATCCAGAGAAAACTGCTGCCTCTGTGCGTGGAAATTTTTATGTCACTGGGGACAGAGGGATTATGTGTGAAGAAGGATATGTCTGGTTTGTTGGAAGAGCTGATGATATAATTAATTCTTCTGGGTAAGTCAGTTGCTATTAGCAGTGCTCATTTGTCTGTTAGAAGTCAATCTGAAACACCAGTTGAGTGGCTGCCTTGCTGCAGCTGTCATATCTGCATTTTCTCCCAGGTATCGCATTGGCCCATTTGAAGTTGAAAGTGCGTTAATGCAGCACCCTGGAGTCTCAGAGGTAGCTGTTGTCAGCAGTCCTGATCCAGTTCGAGGGGAGGTAAATAGAAAAAAAGAAGATATAGAGAGAAATGCACTTTATTCTGAGCATCAAGTTCCTTGTATGTACTAGGCTGCTTTGGAATTAAGATGTTGCTAATTTACAAGATTAAAATCGGTCAAAAAAACTTTAAACCCACACCTTGACAAATCTTAGAATTTCGTTATTATTTCCTTCTTTGCAGGGTTTTATCTGGGGAAAGAAAAGTTTGCCTCTTAAGACTTACTTTGGCATCTTTCTGTCTAAGAACTAGGAATCAGATTATTTCTCTTTTTGTCACTAAGCACCTGGTGGCAATTATATGCAGAGTATCTAATTTGTCTTTATGTTTCAAAGTTGACAATATAGAAGCTTTGAGCTCCAGGGTGAGATTTTTCAGCTGGTTATTGTTTTTTTTGTTGTTCTGCAACTTTCTGAAAGTTTAGTAGTGTGTATGAACTGGAAAAAATAGCTGCAGAGTATTTCCCTCGTAATATTGCATTCTATAATAAACAGCCAATGAGAAGAGAAATTAGAGCAAAAGCTCAAATCTTTGCATTCTGAATTTTGATACTCAGTTCTGGCAAGAAATATATCCCTTTATTCCCATGTCTGGAAGGTAATGGATTCCCTTAACTTTTGTGGTACAGGTAGTCAAAGCCTTCATTGTTTTAGCTCCTGCTTATGTGTCACACGATCCAGAAAAATTAACTCATGAGCTTCAGCAATATGTCAAGAAGGTGACTGCACCTTACAAGTATCCGAGGAAGGTAAGTATACCACAGAAAGACAGGTCTTCTAATGGCATCAAACACTGAACAGTCTTTGTCCTGCTTTGGCTTCTTTTCAGCTGCATTCTGACAAACACCCCAACCATAGTTAAATAAACTCAAAATAAATTACAGGGTCTGTTGCAGCTGTGGCCTTGGGTTCACTATATGTGCTGCAAAGAACCCATAGGGAGGAAATGGTAGTGTAAATTGCTTTTATCAGAGTCCTTTCATAAAATACTGAGGTTTTCATAGCAACTCGAGGGCAAGGCCTTCAGCTCTTACAAATTCCTCCCTGGAGCTCTGTTCAGACTCTCACCCAAAGCAAAGGGGAAGTTCCTGTTGGCATCAGGTGAGTTGGAATCCATCCCTTATAACCAGAAAAAAACATCAGTAACTCCCTGTCCTGACAGCTTACCTCTTCAGGACTGTGTCCCTGCAGATACTGCCTGTGCAGTCAGATAAGATGTGTGGTAAGGAGTTTCATCATCCCAGCCCCAAGCTGTGCAGCTTCCCATCTTTTTACTCCAGCCATAATTAAAGTGTCCCTTCCTTGCACCCGGGAGTTTAATCAGAATGTTGTTTCGCTAAAAGTGAGCTTTTTTGTCTTTCAGGTGGAATTTGTTCAGGATCTGCCAAAGACGGCTACTGGGAAAATCAAGAGAAAGGTTCTAAGGAACAAAGAGTGGGGAAAAGTTTAACATGGTCTGGAAACTGAGGAGAGAAGATTCCCATCATCTGTACCAGCCATAGCACATCACACTTGGCATGTGGTCATGACCCAGAGCACTAGGAGAACTTAGGAAAAAACAAGCCATAGAAAAAAAAAGGGGGAAGTAACACTCACGTGGCTTGAGGATGCTATCGGCCTACAGATTTCCAGGAGACAGAAGGTGCAAGTAATTAAGAGAAAAGTGTGATTACACAGGTTTAATTATTTTACTGGAATTTGTATGAACAGCTTTCTTAAAAAAAAAAAAAAAGTGCAATGGCAACATTTTAATAATGTTTACAAATAAATGAGAAATTAATAAAAATTATCTTTCTCCTGTAGTGGGTATCAGCAGTGAAGTGATATTCTCTCTTCAAAACCTACCACTGTAGCATTCCCATTTTCTTTCTGTCTGGTAGGAAAAAGACATACTCTTTAACACCTTCCTCTTCATGAATCTGTGATCTGCTTAAGTGGTTAAAGTGGGGGAAAAAAGAAGATACAAAGTACTTTAGGTAAAGGTGCAATTTACGCACAATTGACAACAGGGTAAATGATTACATGAAAAAGGTTGCTCCACAGGAAGAATCATGCTGCCTGGTCTGTTTTGTGCTATGTCCTGTTCTCATTACTGCAAAAGAAGCAAGTGAAAGAGTATAAAGGGTTTCACTCCAAATCCTTTTTGGCAGAATGTCATGTTTGTCACGTTTAGATAAAAGCTAATCTTTACAGTGCCTTGTTTGGGAAACATATGTCCTGAAAGCAGAATGAACTGAATGAAGAGGATTTACCCAGCCAGCTTTCCATCTATACTGTCCACAACTAACAGGTCAGGAAAACATTGTTTGAATTCCTAGTGTTGCCAATGGTTGAGAAACAGCAGATGATACTAAATTAGGAAAAATAATGTCTGATTCTTGCAGCAGTTCAGAGGTCTGTGCCATTACCGGGTCTTTTCCTCAATTTTTTCACTTCATTTTCACCTGTAAGCTTGCAGGTGAAAAAATGCTAAAAACTGAAGGCTGTCACAGCAAAACTATGATGACATTTTTATATAGACCATTAGGGAATCCTGGATTTAAAATGTTTATCATTCTACCCATCCTGAATACCATTTCCTATCTTGAATACTGTTCCTCAATGTTCTTTCTCTCCTATTTTCTTCACAGGCTATTGTGTAAATTTTGTCATTGCAATGGTCTTAAATCTGCAGATTAGAGCTAAACCATAGAACCAGAGCAGACTAAGAAATAAGAAATACTTGTGTTATTAAAAAGAATAATCAGAGTTATTAGGTTCTTCTCTTAAGGGAATTAAAGTGGATCCATTTGTTTTTAGCATTAACAGTAGAGGTCATGACTTCGAAGAAAGGTTACATTTAACAAAAATCTTACCTTTTTACTGACAGTTGTTGCCTCATGTAAGAAAAAAAAAACCACCTGAATAAAAATGAATGTATATCCCAAAATATGATATAAACCCCCTGAATTAATGTCGATTTTCTATTAATGTAATTAGGGAATACTTCAAATACCTTTTTTTCACCAGTAAAATCCTTTTAGATTAATTTTTTCTTCCACATGCTATTAATAGAGTTTTGATTTTAAAACTCTATGTAAAATGTAAGTACTATCTAAGTAAGTTTCTGCTCTATAATCATCATTCTGAAGTGGGTGACACTTAGGGACACAACGCTTAGTTTTATATCCATGTCCTGTGATTGTTTTTCAGGAGCAAATTATACCTTATAGGTTTATTTACAGCTGGTCAGTATTTCTCTACCCCAATCTCAATGTAGCATGCAGAACACTGTGAATTACTGTTGATTTAACAACATATCTGGTCTGGGGGAAAAACTATGCTGTCAGATATCACTGAAAAGATTAAGTTGTCCAAGTTCTAGATATTCGAGTTCATTCACCTGGTAGGCAGATTAAATATTATTCTGAAAGCTTCTGCTAAGCAATAAGGAGCTGTTAAATAGTTTACTTTTTCTCAGGGGTTAAAATTTGACCAGAACTGAGCTCCAGGCATCAGAGATGTAATAATAAGTGGTTACAGTTGAAGACACAGGACAAAAGGTAAAGAAATACAGAAAAAATTTTAAACCTTGGGGCAAAGGGCAAAACTTGGCAGCTTTGTTCAAGCCACAGAACTTCCCACATGGAAAGGAACCTAGCTGAGTGTTTAGCTATAATTTGGTTCCTAGTTTGTGAATAGCTTCATCCTTTGTAGGAACAGAAAATTAACCTGTATTTCAACAGTAACTCACCTTAACCTTAGTAACTTGTGCTTGTGGTTAAAAAAGGAATAGCTAGACCTAGGTTTTAGGATCATCAATTGGCTCCTGCTCTGACTGCAGGCTCTCCCAGATATGTTTGATAATCTTCATGCGCATATACAAGAAACATCTTGATAGCTTTGAAATGTTTGGAGTTGAGCACAGTTCTGAAGCAATCTTCTAGACTGCTGAAAATGATAGTAGTAATATAAAAGAAAGAAAAAAGTGCAATGGAAAGGAAGAAAATAATTTGACTTGAGAGCTTTTAGAGTCATTATGGGTAGTATAGATAGAAGAGGGCATTTACAGCAAGCAAATATAGAAGTGTCTAAATAAAATTTGGGAACCTATGTAAGGGATTACTGAAGCAAAGGTTCTCAGAGATATGTGGTGATGAATGGATATATCAGTCAGCAATTGTTCAAGCTAAAGCAGTGAGAATCTTGATGGCATAGTCTGGAAACATCCTTCAGCTCCATGTGAAGGAAAAGGAATAGAGAATCAGCTACTGAATGCTTTGGAGTAAGAATCAGTAACCTTCTTGCAGTGCAAAAAATAACCTCTGATGTTGCGTTTGACTAAGGAGAGTTGTGGGCAATTAGCAGCCCCAAAGATCCATAAGGGTCTGCTGAGTTACAGGGAAGATGCCAGATCAGTACACTACATTAAATCCTTAAAAAGTTGATGGTAAAAAATGGAAGAAAGCAGGATGGAGAAGTTCACATCTGATTGAACTGATAAAAACATCAGTTTGGCTGTGACTAGCCTAAGTGACTTCAAATAATAACTTCAAACTGACTTGTCTTTGGAAAATCTTAAGGTTCTTTTTTCTTTTGTTGTTGCTGCAGGATTCACTGCAACGATTCTCCTAATTTTTATATAGTCTATAGCATCTACATACATCCTCTTCTGCCATGAAGTTGTTCAAATTACAGACTCTAAAATCTTTGTGGACTTTGAAGCCTCCTAATAGGACTTTCCATGGACACCCCAGGCTGCTCGCATCTGATGTATATTCACAATATGAGCCTGTCAGGCGGGGCAAACAGGAAATACCAAAATACTTCAACTTTGCAAATGATGTACTGGACAAATGGTCTGAGATAGAAAAGGTAGACGATCTTTTGGTGTGCAGATGAGATACTTTAACTTGAAATCTTGCTTGAAATAAGCTGGGTATTTCTTTTATCAGAAAAATCAGGTGTCTAAACCCATTTGCATTAGGAAATGATACAAAATCTCATTCTTTCTTGCTTTATTTTAAGTGTCCCTGACTCTTGGTGCTTCCTATATAGGTAGAAAAAGCAGTGGTAAGTCCCTTTTGACTTTGATTTAACTTCGGAATGGCTGTGTTTATTCCTTCTGCATACTATAATATGAGATATTTGCATCATAAAAATACAGGTAACATAACAATAGCATTGCATGCTAGGGAAAACTCTCACACAAATATTTTAATTGTCTGTCCCAAAGTGAATTCTGCATTTGTCCAGATGCCCTATAGTTAAAGACCACTTAACTCTCCTGTTCCTGGCACTGTGTCATCCTGTTGTTTTATTTTGTCCTCTGTCTGTGCTGCTTCTGTTTAACACTGTTCCACAACTCCTCCCAGAATATCAGGAGTAGTATGTGAAGTTATTTCCTATTATCTGTTGTTTTGTAGGAGCATTAATGCTGAGCATAAGGTTTAAACTGAAAGAGGGTCTAGACTAGGCCTTGAGGCTGGAAACAGTTTAACTGGTAAACATTTCTGGTTCAGAAAAGGAGAATTGATTGGAAATATCTGAGCTTGATCCATTAAGGACAAAGGAAAAAATAATAGTTTGTATACCAGTTGTGAAATACTCAAAACTTGCAGATACTAATTATTTGCAGATATTTGTGCATTATAATTTCATGGGGGTTTTTTTCAGAAGAAATGTTTTGGGTTTGGATCCCTATGTTTTATAGGCTGGAAAGAGACCATCAAACCCTGCCTTTTGGTGGATAAATGGAGAAGGTGAAGAAGTGAAGTGGAGTTTTGAGGAGCTGGTGTTCCTGTCTCGGAAAGTGGCAAATGTACTGACTAAAGTATGTGGACTGCAGAAGGGGGACAGAATTGTTGTGATCCTGCCACGAGTTCCAGAATGGTGGCTGATAATTGTGGCTTGCATGCGAGCAGGTCAGTGAGCATATCTGAGACTGGTAAAACTGGCTAATGCAAATTGGTTGAGAAGATCAAGAATTTAATATGGCTTGTAAAGAAAAAGCAATGTAATAAACTAGGGAGTGTCCTAGATATGCAGGCAGTCTTGGACGATTTTCACTAGATGCTGTGGGAAAAGTGGCCTGTACAGCAGGCATGGAGGTGAAAGGAGTCAGGGGAAGAGCCATGGAAGTCACCAGGCAGGTCCATGTTTCATTCCTTACAGGAGAGCACAAGCAGCTCCATTATTCCACTGTAACTGTTTGGCTTGGGAATGCCAGGGCAAATTAATCTCAGAGGTCAGTTTAGGATTAGTTAATGGTTTAGGTTCTCAGAAAAGGATCAGATGTAAAAAATGCTATCCCTAACTAACTTTACTGCTCTTCCAGGAATTGTCTTAATACCGGGAATATCCCAATTGTCAGCCAAAGACATATTATATCGACTCCAGATGTCAAAAGCCACATGCATCATTACCGATGACACACTGACTCCTGCTGTGGACTCAGTGGCATCTGAGTGTCAGTTTCTGAAAACCAAGCTAATTGTGTCCAAAGGCAGTAGGGAGGGATGGCTCAACTTCACTGACCTCTACAAGTGAGTATGAGTTAGAGACTGCAGTCATGATGCAGAAGGCAGACCTGTTCTTCACAAGTACTCATTTACAAGTATTCATTGTAACACCAAATGCCAGCCTTAAGGTGTTAATTGTGACATCTTGATTGCTGATACACATGAGAATTGTTTACCAACAGTGGTCTTATTCTGGGCAGTTTCTGTCCCGTTCTTAAGGGGAAGTCTGTCTTTGAGGAAGTGTAACTCCAAATTATTTTAGTCTGATTTGGTGAAAAGCTTCTGTGAAGCTTATTTGGGGTAGGAGTTCTTCAACATGCAATAACTTAATTACATTCTGAAGCCTATGTAAAGTAACCATTGAATTATTTGCATTATTGATTATTGCATTCTCTGTTTTAAAGAAACCAATCTGCTGACCATTCCTGTGTCAAAACAAGGATTCAAGACTCAATGATTATCTTCTTTACCAGTGGAACCACAGGTTCTCCAAAGATGACTGAACATTCCCAGGGCAGTCTTGGTTTCAGACCCCTTTTAAGTGAAAGGTATGAAAGGTCTGAGCCTGGTTGAACTTGGGGCAACTGAAGCTGCATAGTAGAACTGATGAAAAATAACTGAATAAGAAATACCAATGTATGGCTCTAGCCCTTCTCTCTCCAAAATCAGAGTAGAAACTCCAGCAGATTTCTAGGGCAGTAGGATCACCCCCAGTGTTCCCATTTTTCAATGAATATATGTTATCCTTTCTTTGGAGTGGTTCAAAGAACAGCCATCAGCTGGAAATAGTTTAGTGCAAAGAACCAATATATACTGTGCTGTTAGGGCTGAGAAATTCTTGGTGATGAGCAGAGGCAGAGTCTAAATTGGTTACACAGATCATCCTGTCCCTGAGCCTTAGAACTGAAATACCTGGTGTCCAATGGAGCATCCGTCAATGCTGCTGCTTCAACCCTATCTTCCTACCTAGTGAAAAGTCACTTTATTGAAAGAAATTCAGACTACTCTCTTCCCCTTACTCTGTCTTATAAATGACATCATATATGTATGATATACATGTGAATATGTACTTATGCAAACATATAGTTAGGTGCCCTTTTATGCTAGGGCTAGCTCTTAAGCTCAGAGTGCACAATGCGTATGTATCTTGTGAGAAATCTTGTGCTTGTTGGTTTTTGGTTTGGGTTTTTTCTTTTCGGTTTTGGGGTTCTTTTAGTTTTGTGGTTTAGGTGAAGGTGTTAAGCATAAACTTTTCGTTATCTTTTTGACCATTTTTTTCTGTTCTATCAGGTATTGGTTGGATTTGACTCCCTCAGATGTGATATGGAGCACAGCAGACACAGGATGGGTAGTAGCTTCACTGGCATCTGTTTTTGATCCCTGGGTTTTTGGATCGTGCGTCTTTGTACATAAGCTACCACGGATTGAATCAGCAGCCATCTTAAATGTAAGGAAAAACTCATGGAGATGTGTCAGTTTGCAGAAAGGGCACAAAAAAAATATATATTCTTAGCAGCATCTATAGATCTCATGAGTGTTGGGTTTGAGATGCTGTATCTGTTGTATAAAGCCTCTACTTGCATCTTTGATGTACACAGAACAGGCCAAACCTGCCCTTCATTCACACATTTTGCTTATAGCTGGTGAGCACGTAAATGAAAATCATCCAAAAGCAGCACATGCTGACCAAGATGAAAGTGAAAACCTTACCTATAATGTTGACAAAGAGAAGCTTATGCTGGCCATGCTCCAAGCGATGTAGTCTGGGTGACACATCAACATGTTAGAATGGGAGTTTGTCCTGCCAAATATCCTGTGAATCTCTGCATATTACACTAACTGCAGGAGGGTTTCTTACCCAACAGAGAGCATATGGTGCTTTTCCATAGAAAGGGGAGCATACATTTTCCTTCTAGATTACCTATTACCTATATACATTCAAAAGGCAGTTTTTTTCTCAGCTTCATATGTCTGTCTTGTTTAACTCACTAGACTCTCTGCAGATTCCCTATTGACACACTGGTTAGTGCTCCAACATTGTTCCGCATGCTGGTACAAAATGATGTTTCCAGGTATGTCAAGGAATTATTTACTCATATTGAATTTATCCAGACCAAACTCTAGTTATCTCCCAGATCTAGCTGCTTGACCAAAAATAGGGTAGTAGTTTAGTTTAAAATACCCTTCATGACAAGGCTGGCATAGAAAATGTCATAATTTTCAATTACCAAATTAATTTTCCATGCCTTGGGAAGCACTGTCATCCTAGAAAGTGAGTGTCAGCATATCTGTGAGGGAGTGACTTCTTGTGGCAGTTCTACATCATCCCCTGCTCCACTTCCCACTGCCTGCCACTGTTCCTGCCTCCCCTCTTGCATTTTCTCACTTGGGCTGCTGCAGAGGGTCAGCAGTCAGGGCCCTGGCTCAGCAAATTGCTCTGTGATTTGTTATAGACATGTCCTTAAATCCCAGCTGACTTCAGCAAAAAAATTTACTTTGTTTTTCATGTGTGTTTAATTCTGACTACTAAGAGTGTTGAGCACAGATTGATAGCCTTGCTGTATCAGGAGCTGAAGGATCAGGAATCCTCTGATTTCCCCACTTCATGGGACTAACTCTCCCAGTAAACAGCTCTCAATATTATTTGTTTGTAGTTGCATGCTCCTTGTCTTGCCACTAGATTGAAATACTGCTTCTTTTGGTTTTTAACTCCTTTTAACTCCTGTGAAGCTACAAATTCATGAACCTGAAGCACTGTGTGAGTGGAGGAGAGCCACTCAACCCAGAAGTTCTGGAGCAGTGGAAAAGCAAGACTGGGCTGGACATCCATGAAATATATGGGCAGACTGAAACGGTACATCTGTAGGGTCAATGTTCTGTTAAATCTTTATAATTCCTTTTTGTTGCATGATGTTTTACGGTTTGTTTTGAAAGAACACAGCCTATTTCTTCCTTGATGTTTCTGTGGGTGTCTCAGACCCTCGCTGTGATAACCTCTGACAGAAACAATTTCATGGCTCTCTTCACAGAACCTGCCAGAAACATGGATTGCTGGGAGGAAATGTGCTAATTTCCATAAACATCCTTCAGCAAATTCCAAGAGACAGGAACAGACAAGAGGGCAGATTCTGACTCTTAAGGAAGGGGACTGCTTAGGAGAGGGCATTAATTCTTTGCATAATGGAAAAGTATCCTTTCAGGGAGTTTCTTGATTTTGCTTATCTGTACCACATAGCTCTGACATAGAGGATCCTACGAATCTTAATTCCTTACTTTGGAATTACTTTAGAAAGTGCATTTAAGGAATTGAATATAAATGTAGCAGTTTTCTATTGTAAAACATTGATTTAATTTTGATTTTTTCAGGGAATAATCTGCTCTGGTTTTAAAGGAATGAAGGTTAAACCTGGATCAATGGGGAAGGCAGCTCCCCTTTATGATGTTCAGGTTTGTTGGCTGCTCTTTAATTCTTTCATCAAGTTTTTTGTTTGGTTGGGTTTGGGTTTGTTTTCGGTTTGATTTTCCCCTTGGACTAAAACGTGTTGTTTCTCATTCTAGATTGTAGACAAAAATGCTAATATTCTGCCTCCAGGACAACAGGGGGAAATTGCTGTCAGAAGCAAACCTATAAAACCACTTGGTTTTTTCTCTGGATATGTGGTAAGGACTTTATTTTATTCACACCACCACTGATCTCTCCAGTTGAGCATAGTGACTCAAAAGTCACTATGAAAAACTGAACATTTTTCACCAGTTTATTATTTATCACCAGAGTAATTTGTTTGTTTGGATTGGTGGACGTTAGAAAATGGAAGAGTTTGCTGAAGATTGAGTTAAAATTTTATAGCAATGCCAGTACAATTCTTGAACATTCTTGACTGAAAAATTAAGTTTCAGTGCATTTAATGTTATGTGTGTTATAGCACAACGTATAGGTAGTGCATGTTCAAAACCTAAACTACTGTTTGTAAACCACTTTGAGGATAACCCTAAGAAAACCGCAGAAACTGAACGTGGGGATTTTTATGTCACTGGGGACAGAGGGACTGTGGACGAAGATGGATATTTTCAGTTCATTGGAAGAGATGACGACATCATCATTTCTTCAGGGTCAGTTTGCACACTTCCTTTCAAAATCTGCCATTGTATAATCTTACGTGTTGCATTCCTGGTGAGCTTCTGACATGATAATTCTGTGATGAATATATTGACCTTTGATTTAGGAATACTTGCTTTTATTATTAGTTTTTCATAGACTTGCAGTACCATCTTGGTGATGTCAGTGGCATCTCTGTGTCAATTTCACCTGCAACAACTTGTCTGTTTCAACAAAAAGTGAAGACTGCCATTGACAGAGGAGGGATTTTAATCTAGTTTGGGTTTTTAACTAAAATTGAAGGACATCGCTATCAAAAGAGCATTTGAAATGTTTTATTTTTAACGTGGTGGAATGAAATAATTTTATGTTGTATGATGTGATGCCATAACATGACATCAGCTGGTAGTACAGACCCCAGCTATCAGGCTGAGATGGAGCTCTGGTGTAGGAGCTGCAAGGAAAGGGGAGAGATGGGAGAGCCTCAGCAGTCCTCTACCACATGACCACCATGAAATGCTCCTACCTTTTAACACAGCCAACCTTCCCATTCTGCCTGAGGTTTCTGTAGTTGGTTGTTGGTTTGCTTTGGGTTTCTTCTGCAATATGAACATTAAAAAAACATTTGGTACTGGTTTTCCAGCTCATAAAGACAAATTCTACTTTTTTTTTTTCCTTACCTAGATATCGCATTGGGCCTTTTGAAGTAGAGAATGCCCTGATAGAACACCCAGCAGTAGCAGAAACAGCTGTTGTCAGCAGCCCAGATCCCCTCAGAGGAGAGGTAATGATGGCTGAGCAGTGGTGGGGGAAGTAGTATGTTTGTTTAAATATATAATTTTATAAAGCAGTTCTTACCTTACTGAATAACGTACAGCTTTAGGGCAGTCATGTCATCACAGATAATCCTGCTTGGGATGACAGGCAAAATCCCTTCTTATTTACATGCCTTTGCTCTTAGTTTATTTTCATCCCAGGATCTTCTCTGGAGAATATTACAGGGATGTTTACTTTCCTCTTGGTGTTAAGCACCTGTCTGTACACTGAAATTGTCTTTTTTGGCTGTCTTAGTGTAACCAACCAAAGTTATTTTGTACTAGCATTAGCTAGTTATATATATGTAATAGCATACTGTAACTGGCATTAGAAAGCACAGTGCTGCGCTGAGATGATATGAGCCTTCTCTCCTCAGTGTGAACTTCAGAGAGAAACAAAATGCCCCTCAGCTTCAGGGAGAACTCTGCAGAGACACTTCTTATTACTCCTCCTTCTTGATGACTACTGATAAGATAGAGCAAATGCTCTTGCTTTGTAATGAGGGAAGAAAAACTCTGCTTTCAACTTTTGCTTCTGTGAGACATGTGCAGAAGCTGGGCACAGTCATTTCTTACATCGTGCTGGTTTCTCTGCTCCTCCCATTTGCATGTCATGAGACTGAGCAGTACTATTCACTGGTAACTCGTGTATCAGCTTTTAAAAATGCATGGTGTTAGATCACTTCTGTTGACATTTCCTTACAGGTTGTGAAAGCATTTGTGGTCCTGTCCCCAGCTTTTTCATCCAGTGATTTAGAGAGCTTAACCTGGGACTTGCAGGAGCATGTCAAGAAAACTACTGCTCCATATAAATACCCCAGAAAGGTAAATGCTTCTGAGGTGGTCAACCAGGTCACCCTTCCATAAATCTCACAGAATTACTATTTGGATTTTCATGATTGACCTGAAAGTTAAGTGTTTGCTTAAACCTCTCAAAAATTTCTAAGCTTCATATAATATCCTAGTTAGCTCTGCGTATTTAAGTCAGACTCACAATTATAATTCTTCATTTTGTATTTAATCTTCAACTGAGCACTCTCGAGGGACTTTAGGGTAGTATCTGACTGAGTCTGAATAAGTTTTTATCTACTGCTTCTCACAGTTAATACATAAGATAAAAGCCCAGGAGGATACACTTGGTGTTTCTCAGTAATCCCAGCCCTACAGAAGAAGAGCTACTAGCAGTGCCCTAGTTCACTTGTGTAGAACTCATAGGAACTAAGGACCATAACATCTCCTTCTTTTTTATCATTTGTCTCTGACTTCTGATACCATTTAGGTATTCATCCTTCTGTTACAGTACTGATGCTACAGTACTCAGTTTGGTTAGCTGGGAGGCAGCTATACAGGTCTTTGGCCTTATAGGCAGCCAAATAAACTGTTTGACAAATGGCACAGTACCCTGCTTTGATTTGGCTTGGAACTGATCCTTTAGGCAAGCTGGTCTTACTGATAGGAGTCCTCTTAGTTTTCCACATCAGCTAAGAGCTAGTCTTGGAAAATCGACTCTGTGGAACTTGCTACATTGTTGTCTGTCTTTTTTTATTTAGGTGGAATTTGTCCAAGAGCTGCCAAAAACAGTCACTGGGAAGATCAAGAGGAATGAATTGAGAAAGAAAGAGTGGGGACAGATGTAGCATTGTTTGGAAATTAACAGAACTTCTTTCATTCCATTAATGAATTACACGTTTCTCTGACGTAATTGCCTTCCTCTTTTTTGTTAAATGCCTGAGTATCAAAAGCTATAGATAACACCAAGATGTGATGTTTGCACCTGCTTCCAAAGTGTCAGTACCACCATTTCAGTTCCTAAAGCACTGCTGGAAAAGGGAACAAATGATCCAACTCTATTCTAGTCCCAAATGTCCACAGGTTCAGCAGAATTTGGCTGGTGACCCATCTCTTTTAGATAGTATTCAGGATGAATGAAGAGATATTGCTGATTGTCAGTTGTCTAGCTCGAAGCTGCAGAAAAGGCAGGAATGGATTCGAGTGGTTCAAATGCTCTGTACTTAAATGCAGTGTGTTTAATCTGAATGCAGCCCTCCTATTACTTATTAAAGATGGAAAGACTCCTCTTTATTGATACCATCATATGATCTTCATAAACCTTTCCTGATTAATACATGTCTTGATAAGCAGTGCTAGCTTCTCCTGTGCTTTATCCACAAATAATGTCTATGCAGAAGTAGCTTCATTGTTCCCCTCTGTTCCAATATTTGCATACAATGGACAAAACTCCTGTACCACTTCTGCCCCCTCTCCACTCCATTCCGTTCCTTTCTGTTCCTTTCCATTCCCTTCCATGCCTCTCCATTCCATTCCATTCTGTGCCAGCACCTGGCAATGCAGCAGTCACAATGCCCCAGGACAGGATAGAATAGAGCAGCCTCCTGTGTCCCCTGGGCAGAGGTGGGACGGGTCAGCCCTAAGACATCCCAGAGGAAGCCCTTGAGTTTCTGGAGTTAGCTACAGGGGGCTCAGGCAGGAAGGGCAGCTGCTGGTGGAGGCTGCTGGAGGTTCTCAGCTGCAAGGCCAGCTCCTGGCTGGAACAGCTTCTTAGCTCATGGGAGGAATAGCAGTCCTTTTCATCTGGATAGCCATGGCCAGAGCATAGGAATGTGTTCTTGAGGAGCACTGTAGAGCTCACCATCCTCATCTGCCACAGAGCCAGGGGCAGCAGCCATAAGCAATAGGATGCAGAGGTGTTTCCAGGGATCCTGATGCTTCTCTCAGAAACCCGTGAGGTGACTGCAAGTTGAGGGAGAATTGGGCTTGTGTATCTCCTGCGAGGCGTGACCAGCCTGTGGACCAAGAGCAGGTCTTGCTCACATGCTCAGGGATAGCTGATTGCCAGCACTGGGGTCTGGAAGGAATTTTCCCCCGGAGCAGATTGGCACTGGTCCCCAGGGGCTTTTTGCCTTCCTCTGAGCATCGAGCAGGAGCACTTGTCAGGGCTCCTGTGGTCCATTCAGATGGGTTACTGCCTGCTGCTCATGCACCACGAAGGTGGCCCCTTGTGTCCTGCAGCTGAGGGGGGAAGGCTTTTTTTTCCCCACGGAAGACCTGCAAGTGTCCCCAGGGATTTTTTGCCTTCCTCCACAGCCGAGCACAGCCCCTTCATGGGGCTCCTTTGGGCTGTTGGGCCCAAAGGCTGCTGCTCATACTCCGTGCAGGTGGCCCTTGTGCCCTGCATCCAGGGAGAGGAAGCTTTCTGGCCTCCTAGGGTATTCCCCGGGAGTTGCTGCTTGTCCTCTGTAGCATTGAGCACATCCCCTCATCAGGCTTCCCTTTGGCCTTGGTTCTTGCCCGCTGCTCTTGCACCTCCAAGGCACTCTCGTTTCCTGGCTCTCTTTGGCTCCATTGCCCAGTGCAAGCTCGGAGTGGGAGCGAGCTCTGCTCTTCCCTTAGCTCCATCTCCCCGAGGGGTTCTTGCTTCTGCACAGCAGCCTGTGCCTGGGAGGGCTCCAACCTTGCTGCCACATCAGCAGCTGCTACTCTCCAGCTCTCCCTGCTTGCAACACCAGTGCCAGGCAGGCACGAGAGCACTTTTCATGCATCTCTGGCCAGGAAGCACAGTGAACGAACAAGTGTTGGAAGTCAATTGTGTGCTTATCATCTATAGGTGTCATGCTTTGGGAAATACCCCATGCTACCACACACCTTCTTCTTCTTGCACATTTGTGCGTGGTCGGTGATGTTGCTCATAAATAATAACATAAAACTTTCAGGCTGGATGTAAGGAAGAAGTGTCAGGGTGCTGTCAGGGTGCTGAGGCACTGGAACAGGTTGCCTAAAGAAGCTGTGTGTGCTCCTTCCCAAGGTGATGTACACCACCACCGTGTTGTACAGACCCTTGGGTGACATCTCCTGGTGAGATATAAAACCAGGCTGCACCGAGCCTTGGGTGACATGTTTCTCATGTGAGGCATCCCTGAAAACGGCAGGGCAGTTGGAACTAGGTGCTCTTGAAGTCTTCTCCAACCCTAACTAGTCTATGATTCTAGGGTGTAATGTTTCTAAAAGAACATAAAATATAAGAAACCAAACCAAAATCAAATGGAATAATAAAATAAAATCTTGTTTCCACAAGGATTTGTGTCCTTGAAAGTGCTTTTTATCTGAAAACCCCTGACATTGAAGAGAAATCAGTGTCACTGTTATTCAGCTCAGGTTGAGCATAGGGAATGGAATGGAATGGAACCAAATGAAATGGACTACACTAAACTAGACTAGAACAGAATTGGTATAGGTCAGGCTATGTTATGCCTGCAACTGCTTGACAAGTGATGCCCTTGTTGTTGGGCAGGTGACCTGATTTGTAAAACAAACCATGGTTCTTTGCCATAGTAGACACTTGCTACAGTACCAGTCTATTTCTGGAGTCACTTAGAGGTGAAACCAGTGAAAAACATTCCTTGGTCTGGTTTGGATGATCCCATCAGTTTTTAACATTTAACTCTGAGCTTCATGAAGAAGCATGTACAAAGTGTGCACACCCTTACTTCTTACAGTGGCACACGCAATAGTGGTACAGATTTCAAGGTAGTATCAGTTCTTACCTATTCATCCTGGGGGTTTGTGGGGTACTTTTTTTTTGTTTGGGTTTTTTTTTAATTTAATTTTCTGGCACAAATTTTCATTATTTAACAAAAGCATCTCCAGCCTTAGAGTCCTCTTATGTTCATTAAGTAAGAACAAATTGCTGGATAACAATAGCATCTTTAGGCAAGAAAGAAGGGCTTTTACAGTTGTATCTCACTGCCTGGAGTTCTGTGTCTGCTGCAGCTGTAAAGTGGGATTTGGAGCATTCTAATCTTGAGAAATGAAAATATTTTATTTCTTGAGAGTAAACACTTCTGTCACTAGAACAATTTCTGTACTAGTAAGTGCTTGAAATAAAAGTAATTGTCAATAAATACATTTACGACACTTTTTGACAGTAGCTTCATTTTTTTGAATTCTTAATATTACAGAGAAGTCTTAAAACACTCTTTCACTCCTGAGTTTTCTAGGAGCATTAGATTATATTATTATAAAACTGATCATTAGTTTCTTCAATGCACTTGTTTGACAAGTGCATTGTTGCCCTTGTTGTTGGGCAGGTGACCTGATTTGTAAAACAAACCATGGTTCTTTGCCATAGTAGACACTTGCTACAGTACCAGTCTATTTCTGCAGTCACTTAGAGGTGAAACCAGTGAAAAACAAGCAACTCTTGTTGCTGCCTCAAGGTCTTTTTGGTACCCAGTTCAGTTTCCTTTAACAGCCCTGTACTCCTGGGCCTCCCAAGGACTCTACATCTTGTAGATCTTTCTGCTTGATTTTAAACAGAGAAGTGTTTTAAAACAACAAAAAGTAGACAAAAGAACAAAAAGACTGCAAAAAGTGGAATGATGAACAAGTGTACAAACTGGAATTCAGAGCACCTGGAAACTCCCCTTGTACCTGCAGTTAGCTGTTTGGGCAGTTAAACTGCAGTGATGTCTGAGAATTAGGAAGTTTTGTGTTTTTTTCCCCCTTACCAAATTTAAGGACCTAAAATCAAGCAACTGAATTCAGAGCTGGGATTCAGAACCTTAAAAGAAAAGGTCTGAATCAAACTACCACACTGAAGACTGGAGTTTTACCACTGATTTCAGTGGGGTCATGACTCTCTAAATTCTAGTGTGTCTCATTGGAATAATGTGCTCCAGGCTTCAGTGCTGGAACTGTCATCCATGATAATCCCTTCCTTATCTGACCGTAGAAACTGGGTTTCTATTGTGCTGTAGTGCCCAGGTTTTTGCATGAACAGTCCAGGGTCAAAGTCAAGCAGACTGAAAGCTTATTCATGCCACGTGCTGTGACTCTAAGGCTGTGAGGTGCTCTGCTCCATGCTACAGCAACCTCTTATTAGCAATATTCAGTACACTGTTCTGCCTCGTGTTTAAGGTAGATGGTTTGTTTACTTCTTCTCCTATGCCCAGAATAAGAGAATTACCAATATATTTCCTCTGATCCATGCAGAATGATTTCAGAGACACAGGCTTGCAGCTACAAGCAATTGAAAGCAAAGTAAATCTCTGTAGAGTGTCTTTCTTATGGAGCCACAAAGTTTGAAACTTGACTGGATTGTATCATCCTGGCTGAAAAATATAATTTTCAATAGACTAGCCTTTCCCTTTGAGACCTCCTCTCCTTCCCTCTTACAGCCCACCTTCATAGTACAAGCTTAAAGTTGCATGTATATATATACTCTGTGTGTGTGTGTGTATATGTTGGGTGCATGTATTTTGGCACATAAAATTGTTCTGCTTGCATTAGTAAAAAAGTTAATATTTAGTTTTATGCCTAGAGATCCTTTATACATTTCCAGAATGTGTTTGGAACCTGGTCCTGCAGACTTGCTGGATGGTGATCTTATGACTTCGCATGCCCTTTACCTGAGTGACTTTTAGCCAGTCCATTGAGCAGGAGCGTTTTATAAGTGATCTACAACTTCATCTCCTTTCCAGCAATACAAAAAGTTGGAATAAAGGTGCAGCCATGAAGTGAGTTTGGGTTTAGTTATTCATAAGGCAATTATTATGCTAATACTTGATCTGTCCCCCTGTAAGAATAAAAAAGAACACAATTTATAAATGAAATGGGTGTTATCATCTGTGTGAGAAGGGGTCATTATTGAAAAAATCAATTACAGCAGGGGTAATTAGCCAAGTTTGGCCATTACATTCAAGTGTTAGATTTAAGATGCAGATCAGAACTCATCATCAGTGTCTGAGCTTCATCAGCTGTGGCAGAGCAACAGAGTCCAGGAGCTGCTTGTTTCTTAAGGGATTCCTTTGCAGTCCTAAAATCCAAACCAAAGTTATCTTCAAGCACAATCTCACACACTTCTAGTGAGCATAGAAAATAAAATCCACCATAAGAGAAAAAAATTGTTTAATGGGATTCTACCAGAAGAAAAGTGAACAAAATAAGCTTGTGGTCAAATCTGGCTCTAGCAGCTCTGTCTGCCAAGGAGCCTATGCTCTGAACGGCTCTGTACTCTGAATCAGGTTCCCCTAGAGAGAGGGAAGCTGCAAGCACCAGACCTCTCCTTTTTTAAGCCCTCTGTGAGTGCCACACGTTTCAGATAAATGGGCTTATTCTCA